ACTATTATTATTAATCCTCCCATCCTTTCACCCATCTCCTCCCACTTATGACTGTAACTTTGTTGCTTGTATCCTTACGATTTATATTGGTTGTTTCCTAGTATGATTCAATTGCTTATTGTACCCTTTGACTATCATTAAGTGTTGTACCTGATGATTCTTGACAAATGTGTCTTTTCTTTTATGTGCACTGAGAGCATTTGCACCAGAGACAAATTCCTTGTGTGTCCAATCACACTTGGCCAATAAAGAATTCTATCATCTCTCTCTCTCTCTCTCTCTCTCATTCTATCTATCTATCTATCATCTATCTATCTATCTATCTATCTATCTATCTATCTATCTATCTATCTATCTATCTATCTATCTATCATCTATCTATCTATCTATCTATCTATCTATCTATCTATCTATCTATCTATCTATCTATCTATCTATCTTACTCTTTGCAGGCTAAAAATGCTCAAGACGGGCGTCTCTTGAACCGCAAGATGCAATTAACCTCACTTTTTTTTTAATTTCCCCAAATAGCAAAGTCTAGATTAAGCTCTTTTTACAAAAAAAAAAAAAAAAACATAACCAGTCTGACCAGTTTCAGATCTTAAGCTTCACTTCCTGAGGGCTGCAAGAATCAAGAGCTCTTTTGTGCAATTCAACGCAAACACACACACACACACACACACCCCTGCTAATTTTCCGTCTTCCCTCCACAACTGCAGTGATTTGCTTAACAGCAAAAAAAAAAATCTCACAAAATCAGCACCACTCACTGAGCAACTTGCTTAGCGACGGAAATCCTGGTCCTGATGGAGGTCGTATGTTGAGGGCTTGTCTGGGCCACACCTCACTGAAGGACCGGTGCAAAAATCGTCTCTACGGTTACGCAAAGCCCAAAGCAGACGCTGTTTTGCAGCCCTGCGTGAAATGAAAAGCAGGAACGGTGAAGGAGTATTTTATCTTCCAAACAAACCGAGATCCGCCCTCCAAACAATCTTCTTTTGGTTGAATGCCCGGGAAGACCGGATCATGGGATCACCTCCTCCTGGGATCACCTCCTCCTGGCAAGCATCTGACTCTCCCTAAAAGGATTAGTCGGTTCCGTCAAACTCCGCCTGGTTTCTGGCTAACACAGCTCTCCTTCTACAACGGCTGCAATTCTTGAGCCTCTCAGAACTGCAGAGTTGGAAGGGACCTTGGAGGTCTTCTAGTCCAACCCCTTGCTCAAGCAACAGACCCTAGACCGGGGGGTCACCAACCTTTTGGAGCTCAGGGACCACTCAATGCGTCATTTTAAATCCCGTGGACCACGAATGTGAATTTTTCTAAAGAAAGACATAGTATTTAGTGCAATATAGAAAATGCAAATAATTTTCCTGCAGGTCTCCAGTGATCCATGGGCCACCAGTTGGTGACTGTTGCCCTAGACCATTTCAGACAAATGGCTGTCCAATCTCCAGTGATGGAACACCCACAGCTTCTGGAGTTAAGCCATTCCACTTATTTAACAGATTAACAGAGTTGGAAGGGACCTTGTAGATCACCTAGTCCAACCCCCCCCCCCCCCGCCGCCCAAGCAGGAGACCCTGCACCATTTCTGATAGAGGGCAGTCCAATCTCTTCTTGAAAACCTCCAGGGATGGAGCTCCCACCATTTCTGGTGGCAAGTTGTTCCACTGGTTAATTGTTCTCATTGTCAGAAAGTTCCTCCTTATTTCCAGGTTGAATCTCTCCTTGATCAGTTTCCATCCATTTTTCCTTGTCTGGCCTTCAGGTACTTTAGAAAACAGCTTGACCCCTTCCTCCTCTCTGTGTCAGCCCCTTAAATATTGGAAGATGCTCTCCTGTCTCCCCTGGTCCTTCTCTTCCCTAGACCAGCCAGGCCCAGTTCCTGCAACCGTTCATCGTATGTTTTAGTCTCCAGTCCCCTCCTCATCCTGGTTGCTCTTCTCTGCACTTTTTCTAGAGTCTCAACATCTTTTTTATAATGTGGTGACCAAAACTAAATGCAGTACTCTAGGTGTGGCCTTACTAAGGCGTTCTAAAGCGGTATTAGAACTTCACTTGATCTTGGTTCAACATCTTTTTTATATCGTGGCCATCAAAACTGGATGCCGCATTCTAATAATCTCCTTCACTCAGACATTCAACCAAGCGGTAAACAATGTCACTTGATCTTGCAGAGATCCAATTCTGGGAAATTTGTCTGCCTGGAAAGACCATTCCCCATCCCTGCTGTAGGGGGGAAAAGTTTACAGCGCAGTCATGGGGTTATGATGTTTTTTTCAGTGCCGTCGTAACTTCGGTCACTAAAAGAATTCTTGTAAGTTGAGGATCACCTGTAGAAATTAGCTTTCTTCTTTTTTGCTTCAAACTCTCCAATTCAACTTGTATCCAGTAAATAATTCCAACGGACTACCAACTCGTAAGTATGGCCAGGTATTTGATGGCTTTGAGGGTGTTTCCACCATCCAGTGTTGTCCTTGCCACTTTTCTCATTCTTTACTAATCACATTTTAAACTTCTCCGTCCATGAGATTATCTAACTCTTTAAAAAAAAGTCCAGATATTTATAAATTTCATCCCGATGGTTCCTGATGAATTGTCCATTCGGCATTGTAATGTCATTACTCTTTGCTGTTTTACCTTGATTTATTTCCACCCTAAGCACATTTCCTTGACCAATTTCCATTGCTATACAACTGTGCTACATATTCTCCCAGTGCTGGTGAGCGATTCCAATTTCTGGTTTTCCGTAAATCTTCAGATCATCCATATAAAGCAAATGGGAGGTTTTATTAACATTTATTAAAAATCTCTGGTACCAAATCCCAAATGTACTTTTTTTTAGGAGGAAACTGGACTTTCTTGGTTTTTCTTTGAAGATGTTTTGCTTCTCATCCAAGAAGCTTCTTCAGCTCTGACTGGATGGTGGGGAAGGGAAGGATTTCTCTTCCTTGCAGACAGCTGGTCGTTTGCATCCTTTTTAGAGGGTCCTTGAGGCCACTTGGAGGTTTGTCTGTGTCCTCTCAGGGTCACCTGAGTGGTGTAAACGGTTCCTGTAGTCTGCATTTTTTTCTCTCTCTCTGGAAATCCATTCCTTCTCCTTCAAAAGGAAAAAAACCAGAAAGTCCAGTTGCCTCCTGAAACAGCATCTTTGGGACAACTGTGACCTGAAGGACGGAGAATCTCTACAGACTTTGGTACCAAGATTTGTTTTCTGCAAAAATCACTGAAGTTGGGAGCAAGGCAAGGACAAACAGTAAGGGTGATGACTCTTCTCATCTTGACAAGCCCATATTTTTCACTTCCAATCACCTGATTTCCACTGCTTTGTTATTTTTCCTACAAACAGACTAATGTTTTTACTGACATCGGTTGTTTCCAAACATCTGATGGTCCATCTATGGGGCAATGAATCAACTGTCTTGATTTCTATTGTTTTAGCTCACATGCTGTTCCATTTGGGAGGACTCAAAGCAGATCACCTCGAGACAAAATGTTCTTGACGACATTAGTAACACAATACACACGCATGCACACATCCACAATGCACGGTCACTTGGGAGCAACCCCATGTCCATGGGTGGGTGGGGCGCAGGGCCAGAAGGACCAATGAAATCATAAGCATGACACAAATTGAGATGAAGTTCGTAGAACGTAGAAGAACAGAGTCAGAAGGGACCTTGGAGGTCATCTGGTCCAACCCCCTGCTCAGGCTTTCACACAAATGGCTGTCCAATCTCTTCTTCAAATCCTCCAGTGATGGAGCACCCACCAGCTCTGAAAGTAAGCTGTTGCACTGGCTAATTGTCCTAATTGTTAATTAAACAGTGGAAGTATTATAATACTTATGGTTATTACAGTTGGACCTTAAAAAAGCAGGACAGGAAGAAAAATTCAATGGTGAGAAAAGGAAGGTTGTACATTTAGGCAAGAAAAACAAAATGCCCAGGTACAGTATATGTGGTACCTTACTCAGTAGTAGTAGCTGTGAGAGGGATCTCGGAGTCTTAGTGGAGGACCACTTAAATAGGAGCCAGCCGTGTGCAGCCGCCGCCAAAAAAGCCAACGCAATCCTAGGCTGCGTCAACAGAGGGATAGAATCAAGATCACATGAAGTGTTGATACCACTTTATTACCACACTTGGAATCTTGCATCCAGTTTTGGTCGCCGCGGTGTAAAAAAGACGTTGAGACTCTAGAAAGAGTGCAGAGAAGAGCAACCAAGAGGATTAGGGGACCTGAGGCTGAAACATATAAAGGAAGGATCAGTTGCTGGAATTGGGGATGTCTAGTTTAATTAAAAGAAGGATCAGGGGGGACATGATAGCAGGATTCCAATATCTCAGGGGTTGCCCCAAAGAAGAGGGAGTCAAGCTATTCTCCAAAGTTCCTTGTCGTAAAAAAAATAATTCAATAAAAGAGGAACACAGACAAACCACAGGCAATAAATCCTACTTTGAGATCAAAGGTTTATTTCATGAGCAATTTGGAATATGAACAGCCATGGTAACACAACTTAAATCAAATAACTCATTGCAATGAGGTCCACTGACATGGCTGAGTCTGGCAAGGAGTAGCCATGGCCAATGGCCCTGAACACATCCCAAAACATTCTTTATATACTTTTCTGCACGCATTTCACAACTTACTTCTGTGTTCTTTCTTGCTGACAGACAGTCTCCACATATACCCGTGTACATCTCAAACCTCTATCTATCGGCTACTTTCTGTCCCTTATTTCTCACGGTTTTCAAAACTACGTTCTTTGCAAAAATCACACTCCACAGCAACAGCTCAACAGGATTACAAATAGTCCTGGTACATTTTGAAATCATCCTATCTAAAACTTTGGTTCGTGTCTCTTTTCTTCTGGGGTCTGCTATCATCCATGGGCCTTGTGGAATCTGATAGATCAAGAGCCTATTTTTTTCTTCTTCCCACACCCTGAAGAGGCAGGACAATCAGCAAAGGGTGGAAACTAATCAAGGAGAGAAGCAACTTGGAATTAAGGAGAAACTTCCTGACAGTCAGAACAATAAACCAGTGGAACAACTTTCCACAAGAAGTTGGGGATGCTCCAACACTGGAGGTTTTCAAGAAGAGACTGGACACCCATTTGTCTGAAGTGGGTGTGTTAGAAATGAGAAAATTCAAAAATAAAATGTAGATGAAGAGAATAGTATATCAAGTTGCTCTATAGACATTTACTATCTTGAAAATATATTTTCTAATGCACTTACTCATTGTTAAACATGTACCTGCAATCAATTATATCCTCCTGTATCAAGTAATGCCAACCCTATTTCCTCCAGGAATTGGTACATATCTCACAATACACGCACACATTTGACATAACAAAAACCAAAGTGATCAATTAGGAGGACAACAGGAGAAGAGAAAATAAAAGATAAACATGACCCTAACTTCCTTGAACAACTGAAGTTAGATTTTGTTTTTCAAAGCATCTGCTTAAATTTAATCTTGGCACATTGGGATTTTAAGTTATAACCAGACTTTTCCTTTGCATAGGTGAATATGTTAGAGATGCATATAATCATTATGCTGTTCTAAGATGGCTGGAGAGAAGATGCGCGGAATGTGTGGTGTTAGAAAATAGATATTTCTTTGTTCTCAGACCGTTAGAAAGTTTTAGGGAGTTTTTTTACAACTTGCAATATCTGGTACAAATGGTTGTATAAAAAGGAAATAAAGATGTCTAGTGAAACCGATTAAACAAACAACCAGGGAAAATGGAAATAAGGATAAATGTATATATAGCTACGTATATATGTAAAGCGATATAATTAAATAAATATTGTATTATAATTGTAATAATAACAAAAAAAAGTAAGGATCTGGGAAACAAGTTATAGATTTAC